CATCCCTACCTCAAGAAAATGGAGATTAACAAACATGAAACAAATGTGAATACAATACATGGCGCAGTGGCGACGGGGGGGGGGGCATTTTGCATTTGCGCTGCTTCAAATTATCGTATTCACCCATCAACTAGAGGTTCATGAAATCTGGTGAAGCCACGAAGGGATACCGGTCTGAGTTTGTAGAAACTACCTGCCAACTCTTGTTAAGCAATGAACACACAATGGGAGGAACCGAAAGTACAAAGTGCTCCCCCCCTCCGTCCGTCGTAGAACTGCGCCTAATAAATGGAGTCAAAATGTAAAGATTGTCAACCTACCTTTTGATAGCGCTCTTCCTCCGGTACAAACATGTCCAGCTCATTGATCATCTATAAATTATGCAATAAATTATGCACAGACTTTTGTTAAACATTTACAGTGAAAGATGTTGGGCGTGTGTTTCAAATGTCCTATACTCTTGCTCACCGCGGATGATGGGGCATGTGAAGAAGAGATGAATTCGGCGCGACACCAACAAACCACAAAACTGCACTATATCGTTTGCATCAGTTGTTTCAACTAGGCTATTGTCGCTTAGGCAGCGTTCATACTTCGCGACAGCAGCGGCGATCGTCGGTACATGGCAGAGCGCGCCCCAACGCTATTACTTGCGCTCCGAAGGCTTTTGGGAAGAAGCGACTCAATTTCATGCTTTTTTTCCTTTAACTGCAATTTTCTTAGATACTGAAGCTTGGTTTGACACAAGAAAGGTGAACCCAACTTAATGGCTTTTGTTTTCTATTTTCTTTCTTGATTCAGGATAGAAATGAGCAAAAAGCGTGAGAGCTTCATTTAGGGTAGGTTTTTATTGTTTTTTTTTCATTCGTCGAGCTTATACATGAGGTTATAAAGTTTTCACCTGTTGATGTTGCGTAAAATGATTAGTGTTTTGGTTCCTAGGTGAGTTTCTTTCTGTTTCTTTTTTTTTTCGTTGTTTGAACTCGACTTGTGAACTATAAATGTTTTGGAAGTTGGAACAGTTCAGACGATAGGAATTTTAAGGCGCTTGCATAAATTGAAACAATAAAAACAAAAGAAACAAAAAGAAGCTCACCCAGGAAATGGAGTTGGCCTCATCCCGACCTAAAAAGAAGTGAAACCTCCTTACCTCATATTCCAGATCCGCTTATGTATAGAAAGTCGTAAGTTATCAGTTAGTAGCCATTATTAAGAGAAAAGAAGGTCTCACAAGTTGGATTTCCTTATTTATCAAGCGAGCAGTCCATAATAGCGTTGGGGCGCGCTCTGCCACGTACCGGCGATCGCCGCTGCTGTCGCGAAGTATGAACGCTGCCTTACACTCTTAAATGACTGGTGGAGGACAGGCTGGCGGCGCGCCACACCCGCTTAACTGACACGCCCCTTCATCTACAGTGAACCTGATGTATGTGTTCTGCATCAAAACTGCCCATTATTAGAATATTGTGCAGCCTTACCTCGTTCTCAATGGAAATGTCCTGTTCAAGTAGTGGCATCGCCACAGAAGGGCTTGCATCGTTCACTACCGTCATCTGCATATTCTCATCGTTTTCGCCTACATCGATGACTTCTATGTGCTGTTCGTCGTTTTCCGGAACAACTGCAACGGTCTTCGGTTCCCGTGGATGTGTGTCCAGGGTTTGCATAGCTATTTCACGTTGTTGATTTTCTTCTCGGGTATCCTAAAAAATAGACTGTAAGTGGTAGGGAAAAATAAACATGTCTTCTGGAGTTCAAGCAGGGTTCATCAAAAGTTAGAGAGAGACAACACGCAGGAAAATACACTCCATATCCCGAGATGGGGAG